AAGGACATATTTTTCTAACTAGATGTTGACTAAAAGCATAAGCATGGAAGCATATCATTGATCCAAAGACTCATCAAAAAAATAATAAAGACCAAGCAAAAACTCAGCTTAACATTGAACTTATTCTTTCTAGGTTGCATGTCATCTCTGACATGGAGACAGAAGAGGAATTGACTTACATGCTTGATATATACTGATGTAGCATTCAAAGAAAATATTTTGATGTTTAACCAACAAAAAATTGGCAACAGTGTTAAAAGTAATGAACAAATAATTATTGTACATAGATGTATTGACAATTTGCAGAGTCCTGTGGCACAAAGCTTTGATGTTTCTATGCATCTTAGGTTCAGACAGCCATCATCATCCGGGAGAACTCCTCAAAGTTCACTTGTCCATCACCATCAGTGTCAGCTTCCTTGATCATTTGGAGAACCTCTTCATCTGTCATTTTCTCCCCAAGATTGATCATCACATTCCTCAGCTACATGCAAGAAAGTTATAGTTAATGATCCAGTGAAGTTGTTTTTTCGGAATTCTAGAATGAGAATGCTTGATAAACTAAGTGCAAGAGAATCCGGAGATTGTCACAACCTCTGAAATTTGATCCAGGGCTAGTAGTAGAATCTAAAAGTTTGTCGAGTTCAATGTAGCGGGTTACGAGAGAAATAAGAACCAAAATTTCGTGGATCTGGATCGATGATCTAATCTAAATCGAAGCAATATTGGGCCGCATTGGCAGGTTGTTGACATCCAAGTAATAAATTTTCGATGACTTCCTTAGATAAGTAAACTACCAATTCAAAGAAAATATTTCTCTGACTAAAAGGGAATTAGCACAATCCAGCAGTTACCTCAGTGGCTGAGATGTACCCATTTTGGTCTTTGTCAAAAACTTTGAAGGCTTCTCTTAGTTCCTCCTCAGCATCACTCTCCTATGACATCAGGAAAAATCAAATGTTGTTGGTGAATATTTTTTATGACAAGTGTTTTGGAGCTTATTTTGCTGAATTGGATACTTGTCTACCTTCATCTTTCTAGCCATTAGATTCAAAAACTCTGTAAACTCTATGGTGCCATTGCCATTGATATCGACCTCCCTGATCATATCTTTCAGCTCTTCTTCAGTCGGGTACTGACCCAATGATCGGATGACAGTGGCCAGTTCCTCCAGTGTAATGCAGCCTATCATAACAGCATGTTAGCAAGAGGAATCTGAGAGGCAAGTTAAATTGTTAAGCAATTCCGAAAGGCAATAGAGAACTGCAGAGAATCATCCCATAGGTGGAGACTAAAACAACAATAAGCTGACTTTAGAAAAAACTAATAGATTGCATTGCTCAAAACTCAATAACTTGACTTAAAAAGTCTACAGAGGCAGTCAACTCAATGACCCGATGAAACTCTTATACTTACAAGACTCAGATAAATATCTAAATTTGGTGATACATGCTTAGATTATTGTGTTTAGCTTTATCTACAATTAATCCTAAATGAAATTGTGTATGAACACAGAATTTTCATAAAGCATATAATCTTCATAATACATGTGTTTACCTACGAAAAAATGATAGTAATGATGGTCGAGAGAAAATATGGTCAAAACTAAAGGCTCATGTGCTATTTTACCTGAAGTGTCGATCATTCTTGTATGTGGAACAAAAATAGGTATGCAGAGTGTTACCAAGTCCTGAAACCTGGGTTACATTTGTTCGAATCATTTCAATTGGAATGAAATATGTTTATCAAGAATGTGGAACACATCTTTACATAACATGTGTATATATGTGTGTACACAGAGGGATGCAAAATTAGTTCACGCAATTGCGGTAAATATTTGCCATCCATTAAAGGTGCATGTGCTCCTTCCCCTTTTCTCTTGAGCTTCTGAGATGTCGTTCTGTATGATCCACACAACAAAAGTTCCATTATCTAAATACTTTATAAAGATGTAAATTTTCGCCCCTCTTATGATCTATCGCAATATATATTAGGTGTAAGTGGTTATAAATTCGATTTTGGTTGTAGGAATCCGACTGAGCTTAAGCAACTTGTTCAATTACTAAATATGTTTCTGACAAAGAACAGGCTACGAACTTGCTTAATAACCAAGCATTTGATGTTGTGAAATCAAAATTTGGCCTCAATAAGCAAGCCATTCGAAAGAGGATTGCTTTGGCATTAAAATGATCTGTCAAGCTTCCAAAATTTTGATGTACTGCTTAACATGGTCTGCAAGCAAGTTATCAACCTTATTCTGTTTAGAAGAAAGGACTCTTCTAAGAACAAAACTCATATAGAGGACCAGAACAATTTATTCTAATGTAAGTTGCCTTGAATTGCCCATGACCAACTCATGTATCCTACTCATAGAACATCAAACATTTGAAATAGGTAAATGTGAGTATTTCAGAGGAGGAAAAGTCAAAATCATCACAAATCCCTTACAAAGAACTCTAGAAAAGGGGGGGGGGGGAATCAGCTTTATCTTACTTAACAAAGAAAATCATCAAATCTGATATGGAAGTTACAAGGAAGCAAATTGCAGTAGAAACAGTAGTTTGAATCCAGTCAACAGATGTTTGTGAAATGATAACATTAAGCCTTCAATATCCAAACATTTACAGCGATATGGACATGAATATGAGACAATATTTACCTTTCCATGAAGAAAAGATGAAAGACCAGAATCGCAAAAGACCAACTTTCCTAAGAGAGAAACTATTCCTATTAATTCATTAGCAAAAAAGATCAAGCCAATTAGAACTTTCACTGGTTCTGAGGACAAAGAAAGACCAATTTCTTTGGCCAAACATCACAGACTATGAGGCTCAAAACTAGATAAAAATCTGATAAACCAACAGAGAGGAAGAAAAAAAAGGTGAAGCAAAGGCAACCATATGCCCACTGGAGAAAAAAATCCCAATCCCATATCAGAACCAACTCACATGGACTCACAAACCATACAGAAGAAGCTCATAAAACCAACGACACAGAAGCATAAGCAGGAAAAAAAGAAGGGCGGGCAAAGAGAGGCTGGCAGAAGAAGAACAAACCATCTCCATCCTTGTCGAAGAGGCAGAAGGCCTCTTGGAACTCAGATATCTGATCAGCTGACAACCGGTTCATGATAACTTCACAGCCTTAAGAAGCAAACAGGAGGGAAGGAGCAAGGAAAGAGGGACAAGGAGTGGGGAAGCAAGGAAGGAAGGAAGATCCTGTGTGGTATTCTGAAGCTCGAAGGCATGCCCAAAGCCTCTTGTAGGCATGAAGCCTTTGCCTGCATAATAATAATAATAATAGCTTTGACCGGCCAAAAAGGCTGGTCAAATGCACATTTGACAGTACTATATTGTCGCAATCCAAAGCCCAAAAAAGCAGTTAAAATGGCATATTCACCCTTAATCTTAAGCATTATTTCTTAGTGTTCCAATCTCATTATTATTAGTTCTGGAAATTTGCTGAAAGAAATACAAAAGCCATGGTTTTGGAGGGATGTATGTACAAATTTTGGCTAGTGATTAAGTATGCTCGATTGGCCATTCTAATTACCCAAAGATTATCTTCTTCATCCTCTTCCTCGAGTGCTTCATAGCAAATCCACAGTTGCAGGATGTCCACCTAAGGATTGTAACTGCGGAAAGATGAGATCTTTGTAATCAAAATGAGTGCATCAAAGTCAGCAGAGTCGGGCAGGATCATCGAGTACTCAATCTCCCATTTCTTATTGTTCTCTTCCAGCTATGGACAGCTGGAGAGGTGGGATCGGGTGGTTCAGCCCCATGGGGTTGGGGTGGTGGTGATGGTGGCGGCGGCCCTCAGACTCGAATGAGAGAAGCTCATCGACAACTCTGCTGCTGCTGCTCTCATGTGTGTGCGTGCGCGCGTGCAGTAATCCACTGATCCCACACATTATGCGATCATAGAACAAATAAATATATATATATATATATTTTTTACTTTAAATTATTAATATTATTTGTATTTCGTTTTGTTTGGACGGAAGTCCACCGCAGCCTCCACGGCTTTTGCTTAGCCTGCACGCGAAGACGTTGACCGCCACGTACGGGTCGGTTTCCTCTCATCTAATCACCTCTCGAAGATTACCTGTGCTGGGATTGGACGGCGACATGCGGGACCATATGATCCGATGTCACGATGGCATTAGAGAAACGGCGACTGCCGACGCCGTGGCACGTGCGACGCGGTTCGGCGTTTCTTTTTCCACCTCACGCGGTTGTTTGACCGGCGCCGGAAACGCGTATTGTGACTCGGCACGACCGCCCGAGCCGCGACGCGTGCCTTTCTCTCTTCGTTGTTTGATGCCAAAGTGCGCGTAGGAAAATACTTTTTTTATCTTTCTATCAATTTTCCCCACTTTTCATGCAAAATAATAATAATAATTTTTTTGATCTTTGTATTTTCTTTATTATTGTTATATTTATGGCATAAATATCCCTTTATCCTCCACATATCTCTCTCTTGACCACCAAAAAGGAAAAACATAATTTAGCCACTAATAAAGAGTCTAATCATTAATTAATTTGAGCTAAAAATATCAAAAAAAATTACTTATGGTAGTCAACTATCTATCCGGATATTCTAATGATACTACTATTAATTAGATCCAAAAATTCCAACCTAGAATCAGAATATCACAAATAACTTTCCTACTAACTGCATTTTTTATCAGCTAATTTCTGTGTGTGTCCTAATTAGTAATCCCTTCATCTCTCTCCATTTAAATTGATGTTAAGGAGTCTCCCTGTGCCCACAGATGTTTTGAATACTACGTACAACAATGGAAGTTCATGTCACCTGCCATCCACATAAAATGCTGAAATAGAAAAATTCATGGATGCATGCCTAATTTTGAGATGTAACGAGGATTGTTTACATTGGCATTAAATTCTAAACAGTTGCAACATCAATCTGCAGAATAAATAGTGCTGCGGGAAAAAAAAAGAATCCATATTGCTTGGAATATAAATGATGCATCCATGAAGTACCCACAAATAAACATATTTCCAAAACCTTAAATGACAAGTCGGCCGTGTGATGGGAACACAAAGACGACGCACAACCAGTCTGTTTCAGGTCGTTGGCTTGCCTGCGACTCGCTCGGCTATCCACCCCAAGCCGTCATACAATCCTTCACCGGTAATGGCACAGCAAGCCTGGATGTGCCAGTCATGATTCTTGATGCTGTGGAGGGAGAGAGCATCAGTTATCTCGGCCGGGGACATGGCATCCTTGAGATCCTGCTTATTGGCAAATACGAGTACCACGGTATGCTCGAGGTCCCCATGCTGAAGAAGTCGAAAAAGCTCATCCTTCATAATGTTGATCCGAGCTCGGTCAGTACTGTCGATTACAGCAATAAGAGCATGACTCCCTCGATAATATGTTGCCCATGAGGTTCTCAGCCTTTCTTGTCCCCCTAGATCCCACACCTGCTTACTAGGAATGACAGTATTAGACATGGAATGCAGTTTTAAGCTAGCCCAATAAGCCAAGGATCTATGACCAGTTCTTGCACCACAAAATGAAGGAAATCCAGTCATAGACATAGCTCACTAAACGAACATAGGAAAAATGCATAACTTAGGCCAATAAGCTTAGTAAACATCAATATTCTAATAAAAATAGTGAAATTTATTGAGACATGGATAAAATACTGTTCAATTTTGTGGAACAAAAAGAATATAAAAAGAATATGGGCATATATGATCTCTCCATCCTATTCAGATATATGAACTCAAGTAGAAGGACTTTTAATAGTTATTTAGTTTTTCCATTTGCTGAAAAGATGACAAGTTATAACCAGAAAACAGAGACCTACTGGACAAGGTTTTGTGAACACAGAATCTAGGAAAAGTCAACTAAAATGTCACTTTTGATGAATCCAGCATATATACTTTTAAGTTACATTTCAGGAGCCTACTATTTGTTTCTCAAAGCATAAATGCATCTCTTTTTAAGTCACCAAGTTGTCTGCAAACAGATGCAAAGTGTAATATCATATAATTGCCAATACATTTCAAGTACAATAAACAAAGCACCGTCTCGATGCCAAGTAGTTACCATAATCAGTTACAGAACATCTGATTGTACACAGTTATCACCTTCAAGTTTAGTCTTAAACAAGAAGCTGTAATCCTAATAGTGCATGTATAAGTTCACATGATTAATCATATAATGTGACTAAATAGCCACTGAAATGCTAAACATTTCTTTATGGACATTTATAAGGTTGCTAGAAATAAATATAAATGAACTACCTGCGGTATAAGTTCATGTCCTATCATTCCACCAGCCAAGAAAAAAGATTTCTCCACACTTCTTACCAGATGAATACGTAGATTCATCTCATGTATCTAGCAAGCCTTTTAAAATAGAAGAAGTAAGAAAACCCTTCAGAAGAAGAAAAGAAAGACAAAAGCTCTTCATTCATATGGGACTTGTTAACATTTTGAATAATTAAAGCTATTGCTTTAAGCGCATTAATTCCACTAGTTAAGAAAAAACTTTGCAAGTTAATGCTTTGATTTTTATGTTTCTTAATATGAGATAGAACAATCCTGCATACGAATTGTATCCACAGGTACCTCACAGAATTAACTTCATTCACCTTTTACAGAACGAACTTACAAACCTTGATACAGGATCACCAATTGGTAAGTATTTTTCTGGCTATTACAGGTACATCACACTGGCTCTCTATAACTTACCTCATATCAATTTTCAATTCACACAAAAAAAAATCCAATGATGGTACATTTAACCTAACTTTGCAAAGAAAATAAAAACTTCAAATTTAAAGCTTCACTTTTCAAACAATGTTCAGCAAATACAGCATGATAAATGCAATTAAGAAAAAGTATTATATCTCAAATTAGTTATACGTACGATACAAGTTATAAAGTTGAAAGTATGCTATCACCGACATCCCAAAACAACTTTACTTCTTGGAGGCAACAAGCCACATATCTAGGGACTAATTGTAAAAAAAACATGGACCAGCATTCCATGGACTGCTGGGGACTGAAATGGACAAAGTGTGATATTTCTAAAGTAAAACATGGATTGTATATCAGTAATTACTTCAAGTGATTTCAAGTGCTCCTTTTTGGAGCCAATGGCAATAGATCATCACAAGAACTCTTACTTACTACAAAGTCTATAGGGGAAACAAACATCAAAATCTTAAACAATGGAAGAAAGTGTGAAGCAAAAAGAAAAGGAGATCAAGCACCAGATATGGGATGAGTAGAATCGGAAACATAGATCCATATTTCAATTTGAACTACACTTGTACATTTACTGAGATCACTAAAACTGTTTGACAAATCACCTTCATTTACATCAGAATCTTACCTACATGACTTACTCTAAATCCAAAGAGAGCACTTTTTTCAACTATAAACCAAATTCTTGAAGATCATAAATTTTTTTTTTGGTAAGTTGAAGATCATAAATTCATGAACTATAGTTTCATTTTCCATAGGAAGCCAACAAGTTGCAAGAAGATTTATATTCCTACACTGCATTATAATCAACTAACTTTTCTACTATGTATCTCAATCTGACTATAAAAGCATCAACCAAAGGAGATTACTTCCATCTAGGTTAACTCCAATTTTTTACCACCGCATGTGTTCGGCTATCAGCTTCTCTTTGTTATAAAAAGTAATCGTTTCCTCTCCTATTCATCCCACACCCATATTACTCTTGTTCTGTTATCATTACTAATAAACAGACCAATCTTAAAATCACATGATCATCAACACATCCACAAACCCTAATTTATTAGCACCCGTTGTGGAGCTCACTGGTTCATAACATTGTCCACATTATCCACATTAACTTCGACTCCGCATGTTGTAGGTTTCTCCAATTATAAAGCCGATGGTACAAGAATCAACCATCAAATTTTCGCTTTAGAACTACAGAAAATAAAGGTTATCGAACATATATAAATTTTGACCTCAGACAAATTTACATCACCAACCGTATGTCATATAATAGAAAAAATAACAAGACCAGTTGTATGTGAATGAAAGGTTATCCAGCTCAAAGGTTAAAGGAGTGTTTCCACATGAAATTTATCGTCTTTTAACATTATCTCCGACCGTTCTCCAGACAGCCAAAACCAACCGCTAGTTACAATTAAAGTTCTTGAGAAATTAGAAATTAAATAAGATGATGATCGTCGAATGGCAATGGAATGCTTGATAGAATATAATCAACAAGCAATTGGAAATGAGGGATCAAAAAGGACATAATTGTCGCTGACCTCAAACCGTATGTTCTTATAGACGACCTCCTCCACGTTGCTCCCGATGGTAGGACTCGTGTTCACGACCTCCCCCAGATGCAACTTGTACAGCGTCGTCGTCTTGCCGGCATTGTCCAACCCGACGACCACGATCTTGTACTCACTCGCAGGGAACAACATGAACCAGAACCTCGACAACAGCGCCCCCATCTCCTCTTCCGCGGTCCAAGTATCTCCCCACCTCTCCAATCTATCGAACAAAACAAATCCAGCATCAAACTACGACCCCAAAACCGAATAAGCATTCATCAAGAAGGAAAAAAAAAAAAGAGAGATCTTGGAAACCCTAGATTGTGAGATCGAGATCGAAGAACAAACCAATAAATCAAACGCCGAAAAACGGAATCGATTAATCGAAGAAACAGAACGAGGAGCTCCGAATCGTGAGAAGAGAGGAACGCATCTTAACGATCCTACTCGATTAGAAATCGTGAGGCGAGAGGGTGGGAAGACCAGAGGAATCTCCAATTCTTGGAAGTGTGCCCAAAAACGGATACGAGTTATCATGATCCATTCATATATGCACACTCCAACATCATAACCAGCAACCATTCTACCCGAGTACCCGCCGTGTGATTGGAGAAGGTTGGGACCCACAAGCCGGTGTTATGGGCCTCAGTCCTTCCTCCTATCAAAAGGCAAGCAAACGTTGTCTGAGCCAGCGTGGCAAGACGGCAATTTGGCTTAAGCGCGACGGATTTGGGGTTTTTTTTTGGGTACGATTTAGTTGGGACTGTTTAGTATGCTATATATAATCTACCTTATTCAATATATATATATATATATATATACTATCCATATCCATGTCTGATCAAATATGAAGTAAATTTTGATTAAAAAAAACCCTAATTCAAATAGTTCTCTAAAATTATAAATCAAAAAAAAAATCAACTATGATATCTGAATATTTTTTAACAAAAAAAAATAAATGATGAAGATTGGATTTCATATCAAGACTTGGCTATTAAGAATTAACATCCAATAATATGATAATTACTGACAAAAACAAAAAAATCATGAGAAACTCCTGTTTCATCTCAAGCAAGGATAAATGAATTATAAAGAGCTATGAGAAGAATTACAACTAATGTTAAGCTATATAACCACAATCATTAGCAAAGTTAGATTAGATTAAAAGATGCCACAAACTTAGTGCCAGTCTTACATCAACAAAACAAGAAATGCTGCAGCAAACATTACAAACACCAAATGCAAGAAAAGAGAGAGAGAGAGAGAGTCACATACAAGCTGAGAACTACAACATCATCACTAACTACAACATCAAGCCCTATGTCAAGCTAAAGCACAGCAAGTTCATTCTTTGGTGGATTTGTTAATAAGGGACTTGTGGATGTGGGGGATGACACCACCACCAGCAATGGTGCCCTTGATGAGGGTGTCGAGCTCCTCATCCCCTCGGATGGCCAGCTGAAGGTGGCGGGGGGTGATACGCTTCACCTTGAGATCCTTGCTTGCGTTTCCGGCAAGTTCCAGCACCTCTGCTGTCAGGTACTCCAGTATGGCTGCGGAGTACACTGCGGCGGTGGCTCCAACTCGCCCGTTTGCAGAAATCCTTGTTTTCAGCTGGCGGTGGATCCGACCAACGGGAAACTGCATGCACAGATGATGTGCACCACACGACCAACAAAATATGAGAAACTTAAAGAGAGATATGTTTGTTTTCCTTGTGTTGGAAGAAGTGAAGAACAATGTTACATGTAACATTGGATTCTACACCATGTAAATTGAAATAGAAGTCAACAGTCCATGCTAGATCACACACTCGAAGCATGCCACCGTTGACCTGAACACTACTACTACAGAACACAAAAAACCAAAACTTGGAAAAGGATTTAGGTCAGACAAAAGATAAAGAATGATCGATGCACGTAAACCTGATAAAACAGGAATTCCTGATCAAACCCAATATGGAGATCCCAAGAAAGCCATTACTTCCTCGGTTCTCCAAAGTCAAAAGGAGCCAAGAAGAACAGGGCCGACCTGAAGTCCAGCTCTGGAAGACCGGGAAACGGGCTTCTTCTTGTCCTTGTCTTTGTTCGCCGCCGTCGTCTTCGCAGCCAGAAGCCCCTTGCCACCTTTCCCTGCCATTCTTCGATCCTACTAAACAATAAGCCTTCGATGAGGAACCGAAAATCCCTAGACGAAAAAAAGAAGCCTTTTTTTCCCCGCGAAAACCCTAAATCGAGCATGGAAGAACATGAGACCAAAGCCGAGTAGGTGACTTGAAATGAAGAATCAGAAGACGACGAGATAGAAGAGGGAGAAACGGGGTACCTCTTCGGCTTCAAGAGATGTTTCGGCGGATGGAGGGCGAGGAGAGCGGGAGCGGAGCGGAGACGAAATGTCTATAAATGGATAGGCGGCAAATTTTGGGGGCGTTCAGTTTGGCTCCAAAGGCGGGCGGAAATGGAAATTTCAAACGTTTAGCTTTGTTCCAAAACTACCCTCAATCATCTGTTCAATGACTTCACGTGTAAAACGTTGAAGTTACACATCTAACCCCAATAGGTTGACAATTATCTATTTTAGCCCCCAGGATTGAACGGCCCATTGGGCCTTAGTCAGTCATCCCAAAAGCCCAGCCCATTCAAGCCGATTCACATAAGTCTATTTGATTCCATTAGGCCATTCAAAAATGCAAATGAAAATTCATGCATAAATATACTTTTTTTCCTTAATTTAGGATCAAAATATTGTCTTGTATAAAGCTCAATTACCAAAAAAGATTCATATACTCAACCATACATGGTTTGAATATTTCGTCGGGTTGTCATATATTATCGTCCGATTCGTATTTTTCATCTCGGTTATTTATTTATTTAAAATAAAAAATATTGTGTGATTAATTTTCACTGTATAATGGATGATTTGACTCGTTACATATTAAAAATAATAATCTCCATTGAGATATCCGAGTCGATTTATGTATTTATGTATAAGCAATAGGCGAATTCACGTAAATTTATTTTTTAATTTTAAAAAATAAGTAAAAAATATATATCATCTGGGAAGGGGAAGAGTTTACTATGATTTCGATCTGCCATAAATTCATGCCGATAGTTTCCACCAAACACAATAACTTATATTTACTGGGAGACAAATACGTTATGTACCTCATAAAATTTATTAGCAACATGCATGGTCGAAGCCAGAATGATTGATATGTTCCTCTCAACATGGAGGCAATACACCCGGATGAGATGAATGCTTCAGCTGCTACTGTCCTATGATTGATGGAACTGCACATTGCTTGCTTCAGAAAGAGAAGCAAAGAAGCTTATGCTGCCATGGTGATGAATCGATCCACTGTGAGCTTCCTCATGCATTTGTCTTGCATGTCCCCCCTCTGCATCCTGCCACCAGCAAAGAGGAAGATGGAGACAACAAGACCTGCAAGTCTCCAAGCAAACTATCATGCTCTCTCTCTCTCTCTCTCTCTCTCTCTCTCTCTTTCGCAGACCTTGTATCCTTGTGAACTTGCCATTCAAGCATGCAACGCATGGAATGGGGTGCACCTCCACACCTACACTCACTTAAGGTTGGTGAGAGGATGGGTATTCATGGGTGTCCTTGAATGCCCATCAAGGGACATTTACTTGTGCATGTGAACCCTCAGGGCGTGAGCTCCGTATATCATGTGATGTTGTATCCCCAGAATGACACCCATATCTTTGTGAGAGGAGTATTCATTCAGTATCTCATTAATGATTCAGAAGGTGAGGATACCAATTTGTCGACTGACATGTGAGCTAACATATTTATTTTCAGCTCCAGAGAGGAAGATTTTGTTTGAGGAACACATGTGCCTTCCTCTCTTCTTACGAAGAAATCTTTGTTCCTCGTCGGCAACAAGGTTTTTTGTTTAAGGAAGAAGAAGAGACTTGTTCTTCTCGTGCTGATGCATGCTGATTATAACCAAGAAAGTTTTGTCTGGGGATACATCTCTTGTTCCTTTTTTCTCTCGAGGAAGAAATCTTGTTTGAGCTTCAAAATAAAAAAGAAAAGAAAGAGAAAAATATGATACATGTCTTCTTTCTTTTCCTGCTGATGCCAAGTATGATCGATCACAACAAGCTTCGGCTTGAGGAACAAAAAATCTGGTTTGATCCTCCACACAGATACACGTCTGAGTCGAGGATGCTAACCACGATCATTAAAGCAGCCCAGCATGGGCTCCATCTGCAAAGCCATGATGCCACAATCAGAAGAACCGGACCCTCTTCGAGCAGTAGCACCACTGCAGTCAACATTGCTTGCATCAGAATGAAGAAGCAGATCCATCATCAATCACCACCTCCCACCCACCCCATCAGCTTGGCATTTAATGTCCATTCTAACCTGGTATCCCTGCTTTCATAGGGCCAGCATGAGATGAGAATGCCTACCCCATTTGACCCGGAGACAGGCAATTGAAGATGGTGGAGTTGGAGCCTTTGTCCTACCTGTAAAAAGGAGAGAAAGGTGCCCTCGGCAGCACCACCATTAAAGCCTGCTCAACTAAACTCAGCTCACAACCAATTGGTGTAGCTGAAAACCTAAATGATCACAGACGCCATTCACACCATGTCATCGAATATTGACTTATGCGCTTAGTGGTGAGCTGCACTGCCAAACCTAAACACTGCATCATTGGCTCAAAGAAATGATCACATCAAAACTAGTACTAAATTGTTATTTGTTCTCTTTATGGGGTGGAAAGAGACCTTCATACCAAAAAAATTAATTCAAAAAATCCAAAAACAATGAGCATAAAATAGAGAAATAACTATAATTACCTATAATTACAATAGCTTATGAAAAGATAAGTTCACACTCTTAGTTTTTCTTTTTTCTTTTTTTTTAGATCAGTATCAATTAAGATAGCTAATATCTTAACTAAAGATTGCTTTCTATGTCATTATTTTCCTTCAAATAAAGTTAACTTAGCTTATGAACAAATAAATTACAAAAATAATTCATAATAAAAACATAAATATCAAATTCTATATATTTTCAATGATATTTTAATTCTCAAATATATTTTACACCGACTAATATTAAATCGAGAATAAATTTTTCGATACCATTTAATAAAACATAATTCGTGACAAGGTCGACGCATGATTTAATGTGGCTCCATAACTCCCACTACATCTACATATATCAATCACAAGGCACTTGAGTTATCCTTACTCGAGTAAATTTTTTTACGCATCCTCTCACCTAAACCTTGAATGACTCTTTTGTTAACTCTCTCTAAAAACTCTAGAAAGAAATCTTTATGAGCACTCAAAGTATCTTCCTCTGTGCCTCTCTCACGCACCGAAATCTTAATTCACTAAGGAGCTTTAATTTAATTAGGATTCCTCTAATTATAATCTGAACACAATTAAAACTCATAAAAATATTTATCCATCCTTACATAGGGTACTTACTGTATATGAACCCGAACATAATTATATATGCCAAAGAAAACCTTACAATCATGTCACCG